ATTTGCTTCCAGTTGTTGATAAAGGCATGCAGCGCGGACGTCGGATGATCAGAAACGGCGAGATGAAGCTTTGAGGGGGAAGGTAAGTGTGATTGAATGCGCATGAACATGCCATGATCTGCTCCAAATGGTTGCTCCATTTTCAGGATTCCTTAACTGGTTGGAAAAATCGGACCTGAAAGCGGTTTGACATCCTGAACACGAGTAGCACACTCGTTTGACCTAAGACCTGCGCCATAAGCACTATGCACTAAAGCATTCCTTAAAGGCACACGATAAACCCCTAGGACGCACGGGATTAATACGCCTGGCAGCACGGGATTCTGCGTCTCACACGCTGCAAAGCGCCCTTTCCATGGAAGGTACCCTTATCGAGCTGCAACATACCGACCCGACACCCACCATAGCCCGCCTGCTCACTAATGGACGACCGTATCTAGTGGTCATGTTGCTTCATCGATACAATATGCAGCGAAGGGATAGATATGGAGCCGCCGCGGCGCTGTATGGATATAAAGTCATCATCCTTCGACCTGATTAGGGCGGTCGGAGGACCGCAGACGCGAGTAGCGACCGCGTCACAAGTAGCAATCTGTCGGCGGCGCGGGGCCAGCTACCCTGCGTCCTCTCACTCCCTGTGCGCTCGACACGCGCCGCATAGTACTCTGCCGCCTGCCCATTGACGGCTGGCGCGGCGATCAGCTGATTATTATCGGCTCGATGGAGCCGATTTTTTCTTCAAAATCGCCGTTTTTCGACCGTTTTTCATGAGGTGAGTTGCTTTTTTTACTAACTGATGAATTATATTATTATCTTGCTTTTTTGTTGTTTGGTGTAATTTTTGTTGTTTTAAATGCTTTTTTCGCTATTGTTTTCGCTTTTCAGGTTTCCTCTGTTTTTTTCCTCATTTCTTCCCCCTATTTGGCTTCTTTTTCATTACTGTGTCACTGATGTGTTCCTGTCTTTGCTGAGAACACTCTCTGACACGGTTTTGAAGACTAGAGCCGCTTTTACACCCGTGTTCCCCAAGCTGCCCGTAAATAATGCCGGCTGGTGAGTATTTCAATTTATTTTTT